TGCAATATGCATACAACATACTGCAATATACTACATACAGCATACTGCAATATGCATACAACATACTGCAATATGCATACAACATACTGCAATATACTACATACAGCATACTGCAATATGCATACAACATACTGCAATATGCATACAACATACTGCAATATACTACATACAGCATACTGCAATATGCATACAACATACTGCAATATGCATACAACATACTGCAATATACTACATACAGCATACTGCAATATGCATACAACATACTGCAATATGCATACAACATACTGCAATATACTACATACACCACTGCAACATTGCATACAATATACTGCAATATACTACATACAATATACTGCAATAAACGTAATATCTACTGCAATCTACGTGCAGTATGCAGCATGTGCGTTGCTGTGTACGTAGCTCTGTACCGCACGTTGACCACCGCAGCAGTGCAGACTCGTTCACTGACAGACGCAAAGTAGAATCTAAATAATTAAAATTGCATTCCTTTCTCGTTGCAGAGAGTTTCTCGCGGGCAACGCGCAGAATCCCGTCAACATAGATTCCAAAGCCGCGATGGCCGTCGCGAAAAACATGCAGCATCCCGACCTGTACACGTTTGACGAAGCAGCCGTAAGTATCGGTAATAGACCGCCGCTACACGCGCGCAGCAGCAGCAACCGATAATCCAATAAAGGATAAAGGAGAGCCACGGAAAGATCGCTCGATGGATGGGGAAGGGGAGGGGGTGCAGATGTCGCGAAGGCGTCCCACATGTGCGCTGACCGTGAAGGTGATCTATCGAAAGTGTGATCGCTTCTTTAGGTCAGATTTATAACGATATTATCTATGCGAAGGGTCGTCATGCGCGGCTGCGTCCTACAGACTGTGAGTCGATAGGTGGCATGTGATATGGTTTCGATAGTGTGTCGTTAGCAGATGGCCTGCATGCGTGTTATTTAACGGTTTACAACCACCGGGAACATTGGAAACATCATAGGTAGTTATGACATCCTGTGTATAAAATATCGTAATTTTTGAAATGAATTGTCATGAAAATGTTACAACATTTTAGGACTATGAATGATATGGCTATTAATGATCCCGTCAACGGTCCCCCTGGTTATAAATCATAGAACATAGAAAACCCCTGGAGAATATTCTTCTGATTTGTGTAATGTCAAAGAAATGTTCGACGCAATTCCTGAACTATCAAAGAGAGAGAAAAACGAGTAAAGCAGAGTCGTTATTTTCAGGAGCACATATACTACCTTATGAAGAATGACAGCTATGCTAGATATCTTCGGTCGGAAATGTACAAAGAACTTCTATGCGGGGCAAAAAAGAAGGTAAGGCTGTCCTGGCGGGATTACGTTAGCAAGATGAAAGCGTGCGCATAAGACTGCATAGCTAGCATCAGTGCGCATAACCAGTGAATATTGCATTTCTAGATTATAATATTCACTCTATATATATATATATATATATATATATATATATATATACAGATATATATATATATATCAAGTATTTATAGGGAGATTGCATGCATGTACTGCTGCACGCAGGTGAGTGAAAGTACAGGGCAATATATAGGTGGTGCCACATGCTATCACTATCGACTGCTCAAACAGAACAGGGTGGCAAGAAGACCAACTTATTGTCAACCTACTGTCTACCTCCTGAGGTCTTAATTGTCACCGGTTCTCGCCTGAGTTTAGCAGTATATAGACATAGCTAGCATGAGAAAGACGTGCATTCTATTCTGCTGTGGCAGAAGATCTACCCATAATAACCCCAAGACAGTGGTGTAGACATATTTATTAAATATACCGCTAGGATTTTATGAAGTGCATGTCAAAATAATTATATTATAGTCATGAACAGAATATTAATATATATATACATATATACTAAAAGTGAGATTACTCGGAAATTATCGAATATATACACATACGGAGAGAACGATATTCGCGTGCTTGTGATAGTATAATATGAATGTGTTAGTAAAGGATAAATGAGACAAAAATCTTTAAAAAAACAAAACAAGTTTCGATAGAATATGCATTTGCTAGAAGCAACCGATCCAACAGGCTTCTCTGTTATTATATATATACATGATGTATATCCTCTTCGGTGATACGTAATGTAGTTTGTAGCGCACATAAACATGTTTCATCCTGAAGGGAAAAGACGAGCAGAGGACGCATTTTATCACCAGAGAGAGAAAGCAGGCCGATCGCACAAAGGGTTTCCTTCTGTGAGGGCACCCACCCTCTCACTAGCTGGCTTGGACAACTAGAGTAATACCAACTGAGTTGCATTGAAGCTGTTTCAATGATTGATCAATGTTCTAATTGTCCAAGTGCAGTTTTCCCCCTAACTATAAATGCAATCATTGGCCCATGTTGCGTATTTAATCGTGTATTAGCCGTGATAATAAACACTAAAGTCCGTGTAAGTCGTTTTGCATAATTATATTGATTGGCGCTGTGCATGCATGTGATGTTGACGGTGGTTTGGTAACACTATGATGCGGTTATGTTCGTTGGATATAGACCTTTCCATTACAGTGACCGCGACACTGGGTGGCGATGCCAGTAGACTAAACATTTCTCAAAATCAAAAATTAAAAATCAAAAGTTACAATAAAATATGCAAGATTCTTTTCCTATTTTCCCTTAGTATATGAAATATTCCGCAGGGTATCGGCGCAGTTTTATTCATACTTATTCTGAAAACCAATGGAAATGAATGGTGTTTGGCTATTGCTGTTTCATCTATTAATCTATCTATCCATCTATGTAGATATACAACGCTTCAAATTGCACGTGCTTTATTCGGTGCTTATAATATTGAAAACCACTCGTTGACTCATTTGCCTCTTTCCAAACTGAATTTTTATATCTCGGTTCTTATAACTTACTTATAACTTGAATTTTTTAATTTTAAGTTATAACTTATCACATATAATTAACGGCCTAGTTGAGGTGGAAAGGTCTGCTGGCGAAGATGCATGTGGTACTCTGTGAGCTAGCGTGTTGTGTGTCACTAACATTTGTGTGTTGTACCGCAGACGTCAGTTAAGGGCTTGAGATCAGTGATTTCCTTCACAACGAGCAGGCGAGAGGGCAACCCAGCATAGTTGCATTGCTAGCTCGTATGCAAAGGCCTAGTCTTCGGTGAGAAAACAGCACAAACGTCTCTCCCCCCACTATTTTTATTTTTGAAACGAGACCACCACGACTAAAGCAGAGAGCACAACGGTTGCAATTGTGAGCTTAAAATTGCCATCATCGGCACACACGATAGTTGCCACTTCTTCTTACGATGTCTTGAACGATAGGCGGAAATCTGCGCAACAGCTGTGAGTGAGAGGTAGCCTGTTAAGTCAGCATATCCCCGATAGAATGAACAGCGGCCGACGTATATTTGACAACATAATGTAGCAACAAACTTCCCCGGAGTTTTTCCCCGGAATCTTTTTTAACATTATTGCTAATTCCACATCACATTCGATTCATTACTTTTTCTCCGGTAACCGGGTACCGGGGTTAAACTATTTAAGGCACGTTACCTTTTTTTTCTTTATGAAGTAATTTGAATAGAAAAATGCAAATGTAAATTGATTGCATGGTCGCTAATAAATAACAGCCACAAGGACGCTGGCACCTGTCTAGGCCACCAACCGCAAACAGAAACGCAAAGGTTAAAAACAGTAATAAGTGTCTTAGGAGAAAGCATAAAATGTTTAGATCTTGATAGAATACAAAAGAATAAAAACCCTCATTCCCAATAATTTGGAAATGATTAACACGAAACGAATTTGTCTCAAATATTATCCACATGACATATTTTCTATTGCCCATATTTTCCATAAACGTAGATGCTAAGACAGACAATCTCAGATCTTTAGCTACTCATTACTCATGAATTGTTGAGCCTAAAGAATTGATGAGTCTTTCCGTCAGTTTATCAGCTAGTAAGCAATTCGTGTACGAGTACAACGAACATCTCAAAAGTGGCAACGTTAAAGAAAAATGGCAACCCGTGTCTCTCGCCGTGTGTGTAAAATCACACGTGCTTTATTGTGGCAGGTAACACTCACATATATAGATAGATATATTTCTCACTCCTACGATTTTTGCGTGTAATCACGTTGCAACTTTCTTGCACTTAGACATCTTAAGCTTCTTTCGTAGGCTACTTTTAATCATCATCATCAAGCCAGGAAGGACTCGACAAGACGTCGCACCGTTGATGCTTCTCGCTGTATGTGTCTGCTTCCGCATCCATCAAACGAGACCCTACTAGCGTTCAAACATCTTCAGAACTTTCGTTAATCTCCCCCGTCGAGATATAACCCCCGCTAATAATAAAACACTCAGGGAGAGAGAGGGAGAGAGGGGAGGGGGAAGAGAGAGAGAGAGAGAGAGAGAGAAAGAAAGAAAGAGCGAGCGCGCGCGAGAGAGAGTGCATGTGTGTGAGAGAGAGAGCGAAAGAAAGAAAGTGGGGGAAAGAGGGGGGGGAGGGAGGGGGGAGATGTGTTGATAAAACATGTAAACAATTAAATTGTGTTGTTTGCGCGGAGCATCAGCGAAGCAGCATACCTGGTGCGAGGTCGCTCGAGATCCGATCTGGGGCGAAAGATTTTCACTGCATTTGTGTTTTTACATTCTACACCATAATTATACGCTTCGCCATATCACCTAGAGGCAGCATACAGTAACGCGTAGATACTTTTTAGCACGTATGCATGCCATGCCGTGGCATTCAATAGGTAACTATCGATTGAATTTTGAATTTTTTTCTCCATCACAAGGAGAAATAATTTTTTCATCGAATATTCTTCTTCCGTGCTGCTTCATTTATTTTTTCGCTCTCTAAAATTGTAGCTACTTTTTATAGCGTGTATGTAAATAAATCGACATTTTGGTGGTGCTTCCCCACGTAAAGGCACGTACGCCAAGATTAACACGTAGGATTATCAGAATTTTGCATTTTACACCGTTGGAGATCATACACCTGCTACACGATACCACTAAATACATGCCTCACGCGATTTTTTATGTCTTCTGTACATTATAAAGATATTTTTAGAAAGTATTTTTTAAATGTTTTTCAATGTTTGACGCTAAATTTTTCTAAGCATTTGAATCGTGATAAATAACTTTTGAACTCGTCGCTGTTCTAAATAAAATAAGCATCGAAATCTTAGCTCATGAACAACTCTTTGATGCTCGACTCGAATCTAGGAAACAGAACAAAACAAGAAAAAACAGGATCTAACAGTGCATTCTCTAGACATGCATCAAGGCGATTGTCAAGCGAATATCAGCTCTAGATACCGCAATGACACAAACATTTGGTTCTACAATATTATATTGTCAGTCATATTTGCACGAAAATTACTTTTCATGCAACTACGCTTATGAACATTTCCGCGCGCAATCGTCGCGAGCACAGGCACTTGAAGCGTTTCAATAAAATATATACGCAGGGGTCGTGTGCTGTGCACGGCGACAGTTAAATATATAGCTGTCTACTAGCTATATATTTAACCGTCGCCGTGCACAGCACACGACCCCTGCGTATATATTTTATTGAAACGCTTCAAGTGCTTGTGGTCGCGAGGAAACAGGACACCGCCAACTAATCATGAATTAAAAGACATGGGGTTTAATTAGAATACATGGGGGTAGAACAATAGAACACCAATCACGAGACATGGACCTCTGCTGTCTAGTATAGTGGAAGCATAAGACTGCCCCCCCCACCAGTTGCAATCATACTTCAAATAAATATGTATATGTCCACCGAAACCTCTAAACCATAGAGAGGTACGCTTGATTTAATTGGTTATATTTATACCCATGCAGTAGCTACTGTGCTGCGTTCTTTTCATCTTCACTGCTCGCATAGCTATTGCGATTCTCTCTCTCTCTCTAGCATGTGCTTATATCGTGCATCGTGTGTCCTCCACCACCTGCCTCAGTTCATCCGCTAGTGAGTAGAGTGTCGTGAATAGCATTTTGCACAGATGACTGGACTAGAAGAGGAATCGCAAGGCACGATGGATTCTCTGAGGACGCTTTCCCGTAGATGGCACCTAGAAAGCGAATGCTGCTGCTGCTGCGGCTGCTGCGACCTATTTATGTAGCAACGATGTCTTTTATGTTCGTGCACGCTCGCGTGTATGTGCGCGCACGTGCGGGTATGTACACGTGTACGTATGTGCACGTGCGCGTGCGTGCGTGTGCGTGCGTACGTGCATTGGTTTATATGGCGCATTATATCGATCTTCCCCCACGCTTTGCGATTGCAACGAATGACTGTACGTCCGTCCGCCTGTCTGTCTGCCCGGCATGATCTTTAGCTAGAGTATGAAACGAACGACTGATTGACTGATTGACTGATTGACTGACTGACAGACTGACCGACTGATTTGCCGCTGCTTGGCGTGTGACCGACGCAAGACTTGCACGCCCGCGCGTTTCGCATCGCTGTTGCATCGAGCCGTAATATTTACGTGACGCGTGACGACACGTGAAGGCACGCGTGTCATCATCACTCGTGCTGACGTGGGCACCATGACCCGTGCGCGTGTGCGTGTGTGTTTGTGTGCGTGCGTGCGAGCGCGCGCGTGTGTGTGAGCGTGTGCGTGCGCGTGTGCGTGCGCGTGCGCATGCGTTTGTGCGTGCGTTTGTGCATGCGTGTGTGTATGTGCGTGCGTGCTTGCGTTTGTGCGTGGTAATATATTTATTTAGATATATATATATATTATATATATATATATTAATTATTTATATATGTATGTTCCGTGCGTGTGTGTGTGTGTGTGGTGTGTGTGTCTTGCCCTCTTGTGTGTTCGTTGTGTTGTTGTCGTTTTGTGTGTGTGTGTGTGTGTCGTGTGTGTGGTGTGTGTGTGTGTGTGTGTGTGTGTGTGTGTGTGTGTGCTCCGTGTGCGCGTGTGTGCGCGAGTGTGTGTGTGCGTGTGTTGCGTGTGTGTGTTGTGTGCGTGTGTGTTGCGCCGCTGCACATGGTCGTTATGGGCGTGGTGTCTCCTGCGGCCTTCGTGTCCCTGCCTCCTCGGCTGGTAATCGTGGTTCGCGTGCCTGTGCGCGTGACCGCGATCTGCCGTGCCCCCGTGCTCCGTGGGTTGGGGCGTTGTCGTGCGTCGCCTGTCCCGCCCCACCGGGATTCCATGTGTGTGATGTTCCTCTCCCGCCGCGCGCGTGTGTGGTGTGTGTTGTGTGTGTCGTCTGTCTGTGTGCGCTGCGCCGTGTTGGTGTTGTGG